ACAACTCCCAGAAAGCCTAGCCGCTCTTCGCGAGCGCCTTCGGGACTGGTAGTCTTCGGGGAGGGTCCACCAGGGAGAGAGGGGAGGGCGCGGACTTCCACACCCACAAGGCCGTGCGGCCGCCCCAGCCTCGGAGGGAGGCTGGAGCGCTGGCGAAGCTGCTTGCCATGGCTTGGAGAGGCTGCTTCAGGCTGGGGGTCCGGCTGCGGGGGTCCGGAACGCCCCAAGCCTGGGGGCGCAGGGGGGCTGCCTCCTGCATAGACCGTAAGGCGCTAGGGAGGAAGGTGGGGTGAACCGGGGGGCAGGGCAGGAAGGGCACCCCGTTGACCCTCCTTGGCTGTTGAAGAAGTTGCCTCGCCTGGTGCGGCAGGCGGACGTCCAGCAGGTCCTGCTTTCGGCTGGGTATCGGTGCCCCGCTGCAGCCTCTTCCCTAGCCCAGCGTCCCCCCTTGGCTGAGCTGGACTACAGCTCCCATCATCCGTAGACCGCGCTGGTGGGAGCGGTGGCCCCCAAAATTGGGGGGCGCCAGGTTGGGGAGGGGGGCTGGGCTGGGAGGAAGGCACGCTTCGCTGAATGTGTCCGGATGGGGCACAGACGCTCGACAGCTGTTAGCCCAGCTTTGGGGGGGGGAGTGGTGGAGGCCAGCTTTCACCCCCCTCCCACCAGTAGCAAAGACTCCTGTGATTATTCCCTCTCCCTGGGGAGATGGGCGGCATACAAATTTAATAAATAAGCGCATACATATGCTCCAGGCGCTTCTGCCTGCTTTGAGCCTTTGGAAAAGGTTGGGCAGGAGGGGGCCGCCAGCCTTCCATGGCAGGGGGAGGCTTCACCTGTTGAATTTTGGCTGAACGAGGGAAGGTGAACTCTGACGTCCTCCTTCCGGACGGTGCCTACCGAGCCGCTCCCCAAAGCAGACGGATCCGTGGCTGCGGTTTAGTGCAAAGGGAGACAGGGAAGGTTTGGGCGACCTGCAGAAGCGAATGGCCAGAGAGGGGGAATCTGGGGAAAGAAACTCCGCGTAGCTCCCCCTGGATTCTGTTCAGCGTGAGATGGGACAGAGAGAGACTTGGGCAGGCTACTTTACTCCATTTGGTTTGTGCTACTTTACTCCAGGTTCAAGACTCGGTTCGGCTACTTTACTCCAGCACAAAGCATTCCTGGACTCTTTGCCGTGCCTGTTTCTTAACTTGGCCTACCTTGAAGGGTTGACATTTACGGAATGAATCGGAGCGGGCAGGGTGCGCCAAGCCGTAAACTGGGGCTGGGTTGGGGCAACATGCAAAGCCAGAACAGAACTGTGGTTGGAGGGTTGTGTAAACTGGACTTAGCGATGGCCACTATGCAGAACATCCATGGCCCAAGCCAGCCTTTACAACAGAATTTCTCAACCTCGGGAACTTTAAGAGGGGTGGACTTCAACTCCCAGAATTCCCCAGCCAGCCAT